CTCAGATATCAAGAAACACTGAAAGGCTGTTTTATCCTAAATTGTAACTCCTCTGAAGTGCACATCCACGACCACACAAGAAGTCGAACCTTAGATTTTTAGTCTTTGAAGTGACCTTTAGATCAGCAAGTTAGATATTGCCAGTATCATCTCTGGCAGTTATTAAAGAACACTCGCTACGATGCAGATATATTCAACAGTCCAGAAAAAAGATCAGATCAGTTAGCTATTCGTTTCAAGCTCATGAAGCAGATACATATAGAATACATTGTCATAATTGTAACCGATTTCGATACTCTTTACTATGTATTCTGCTAATGATCAGATCAGTAGCAATGAAACAAAAATAATTTAAAGTATATATTTTCTTTTAACTCCGCCTGGAGTCCCTTTCCGGAGGCTACTGCCGGTCCCAAGCCCGGATAAAGGAGGAGGGTTGGGCATGGGGTTAGCGACCCCATCCCGTAGAAAACTAACTCGCTAAAAAAACGCTAACCAGAAAAAATTATTCAAACCATTTAATCTCTGCCCTGGGAGTCAGGAGGTCTTCGTTTAGAAGAATTATGACGCCTCATGATGAAAGCCGAGTTTCTTCGGAAATCACGAGGCCGATGCCCCTTCTGACAACCAGAGCAACCATTTATTTAGGTACATGGAATGCTCGCACAACGTGGGAGACTGGGAGAGCTTTCCAAATTGCTGCAGAAATGAGGAGATACAATTTAGAGGTGCTTGGGATCAGTGAAACACATTGGACGCAAGTTGGACAACAACGACTAGCTTCAGGGGAGCTGCTGTTATACTCCGGACATGAACAAGAAAATGCTCCACATACACAAGGAGTTGAATTGATGCTGTCCAAACAAGCACAAAATGCACTTATAGGATGGGAATCTCATGGACCGAGGATCATCAAAGCCTCCTTCAAAACAAAGAAAACGGGGATTACAATGAACGTCATCCAATGCTACGCGCCTACCAACGACTACAATGAAGACGCTAAAGATCAATTCTACGATAGGCTGCAGTCAATCGTCGAGAAGTGCCCAACAAAAGACCTGACTATTCTAATGGGAGACCTAAATGCCAAGGTTGGAATTGACAACACAGGATATGAAGAGATCATGGGACGACACGGACTGGGAGAAAGGAACGAAAATGGTGAGAGATTTGCAAATCTATGTGCTTTCAATAAACTGGTCATAGGCGGGACTATATTCCCACATAAACGCATACACAAAACCACATGGACTTCACCGGATCACACCACACAGAACCAAATCGACCATATCTGCATCAACAAAAAGTTCAGGAGGACGATGGAGGACGTGAGAACAAAGAGAGGAGCTGATATAGCATCAGATCATCACTTGCTGGTCGCCAAGATGAAATTGAAACTCAAGAGACACTGGACAACGGGGCAGACAATATCACGAAAATTTAATACGGCTCTTCTTCGGGACAATGACAAACTCAATAAATTCAAGATAACCCTCAGCAATAAGTTCCAAGCCTTTCATGATCTACTCAATGGAGAAGAAACTACTATGGAGAGCAACTGGAAAGAGATAAAAGAGTCAATCACTTCAACATGTCATGAGGTTCTGGGCCAAAAGAAGCACCATCACAAGGATTGGATCACGGTCGATACACTGGATAAGATTCAAGAAAGGAGGAACAAGAAAGCAGCAATCAATATCAGTCGAACAAGAGCAGAAAAAGCCAAGGCACAGGCTTAATACACAGAAGTAAACAAGCAATTGAAGAGGAGCATCAGAACTGACAAACGTAAATATGTGGAGGATTTGGCATTGACGGCGGAAAAGGCTGCCAGAGAAGGAAACATGAGACAACTGTATGACACAACAAAGAAACTCTCTGGAAACCACCGTAAACCAGAACGACCAGTGAAAAGTAAGTAAGGCAAGATAATCACCAACATTGAAGAACAACGAAACAGGTGGGTAGAACACTTCAAAGAACTCTTGAATCGACCAGCCCCACTGAACCCACCCAACATCGAAGCAGCACTCACGGACCTCCCAATCGATGTTGGCCCACCAACAATTGAAGAAATCAGCATGGCTATCAGACAAATCAAGAGTGGCAAAGCAGCAGGACTAGACAGCATTCCAGCAGAGGCACTGAAAGTAGAAGTAGCGGCAACTGCAAGGATACTCCAAACTCTCTTCAGAAAGATCTGGGATGAGGAACAGGTACCAAAAGACTGGAAAGAAGGACTTCTAGTCAAAATACCAAAGAAAGGCGATCTCAGCAACTGTGAAAACTACAGGGGAATCACTCTTCTCTCAATACCAGGAAAAGTCTTCAACAGGGTATTGCTAAACAGGATGAAGGACTCCGTAGACGCCCAACTTCGAGACCAACAGGCAGGATTCCGTAAGGATAGATCGTGCACAGACCAAATCGCAACTCTACGGATCATTGTGGAATAATGAATTGAATGGAATTCATCACTCTATATCAACTTCATTGACTACGAAAAAGCATTTGATAGCGTGGACAAAACAACCCTATGGAAGCTTCTTCGACACTACGACGTGCCTGAGAAGATAGTCAATATCATAGGGAATTCCTATGATGGATTAAACTGCAAAATCGTGCATGGAGGACAGTTGACAAAGTCGTTCGAAGTAAAGACCGGTGTCAGGCAAGGTTGCTTACTCTCACCCTTTCTCTTTCTCCTAGTGATCGACTGGATCATGAAGACATCAACATCTGAGAAGCATAGGATACAGTGGACATCTAGGATGCAGTTGGATGATCTAGACTTCGCAGATGATCTGGCTCTTCTATCGCATACACAACAACAAATGCAGGAGAAGACAACCAGTGTAGCACCAGCCTCAGCAGCAATAGGTCTCAATATACACAAAGGAAAAAGCAAGATTCTTCGATACAACACAGCATGCACCAATCCAATCAAAATTGACGGAGAAGCTTTGGAAGATGTAAAACCTTTACATATTTGAGCAGTATTATCGATGAACACGGTGGATCTGATGCAGATGTGAAGGCACGGATTGGCAAAGCAAGAGCAGCATATTTACAACTGAAGAATATCTGGAACTCAAAGCAATTGGCAACCAACACCAAAGTCAGAATTTTCAATACAAATGTGAAGACAGTTCTACTGTATGGGGCGGAAACCTGGAAAACTACGAAATCCATCGTCCAAAAGATACAGGTGTTTATTAACAGTTGTCTACGCAAAATACTTCAGATCCGCTGGCCGGACACTATAAGCAACAACCTACTGTGGGAGAGAACAAATCAGATCCCAGTGGAGGAAGAAATCAGGAAGAAACGCTGGAAGTGGATTGGACACACATTGAGAAAAACACCCAACTGCGTCACAAGACAAGCCCTCATATGGAATCCTCAAGATCGAAGGAGGAGAGGAAGACCAAAGAATACATTACGCCGGGAAATGGAGATAGATATGAGAAAAATGAACAAGAATTGGATGGAACTAGAAAAGAAGGCCCAGGACAGAGTGGGTTGGAGAATGCTGGTCGGCGGCCTCTGCTCCATTGGGAGTAACAGGCGTAAGTAAGTAAGTAATATATTTTCTTTTAAAAAATTGCATTTTATTCCATTCAACTTTAATAATGTCATTAAACAAAGAAAAAGCAATAACCGAATTGAGAAAACAAGTATTACTTTGATTTGAGATCATAAACCGATTGATGTTAGACCATGATTTAACACTTGAAAGCACTAGATAGGCGTTTCATTCTATTGTGAGACTCCTCAGCAGTGAACATTCACAATCCCGTCACGTGAGATTCGAATCCAGGACCTATCGGTCTCACGCGCAAATGCTTAACATCTAAACCACTGAATCGGCATCTAATAGTGTTCATGTCTAACCTCACCTAAATATTATTCAGATGTCTATCTCTATTTCTCAGTGTAATATGTTCTTTGGTCTTGAGGATTTCAAGTGAGGTCTTGCCTTGGGCCCCCTTTGGGGCTACCACCAGTACCAAGCCCGGATAAAAGAGGAGGGTTAGTGACCCCATCCCGTAGAAAACTAACTCGCTAAAAAACGCTGACCAGAATTCCGAACCCAAGCAATATATAATAGTATTGAAACTCAGTATAAAGGTCAGTCAGTCAGTTACAACGTAGGACCAGACACATATATGCATCAGTTCAAGTTGCCATACAGCATTAGCACAACAAGATGAACATCAGATTCATAGAAGTAGTTAACTCAGTGGTGGTAATATATATAGAAGAAAGATTGCATATAAAGAGATAGTACAGAAAGGGAGAATTAGTTCGTAGAAAGAAAGATATGAAATAATTTTAATCTCATAGTTTAAGAGAAGACAGAGAGTATATTAACCCATGCCATTGTGATCGATTCTGAGTCATGTTACCTAGAGTCTCCAACCATTGGTTATGATAGTCACGTGGACCGCAACCAGGCAGTCTGCATCTACCAACATGGCACAGACCAGAAGTTAGTGACTTCAAGTACTGATGCTACGTTTTGGTTTGGCCGCCCGTCTTAAGAGGAAAAACACATATATGCATGTGTGCGTCTGTATCTGAACATTCACATCCACGATTGTATTGTCACAGTTACAAATAGATTCATTAACAAAGATAGATAGAAACAGTGTGAATAGATAGACAATTGAAATCATATCATTACTACAAAGCAATAATTTCCTACATTTTGTACAATGAAAATACAGTTTTTTTGTGCACAAAATAAAAAAAAACAGAAAAGAAAAAAACAAAACAAAAAGAAAACAAACATTAGCAACACTTATGAATGAGAATACAAAAGAAAAACAGAAAGAAAACTAAAGCTAATAACATTGAGCAAAACAAAGAACCAATCATTCATCTTACATTCAATTTGTAATACTACCACATAGGGAGAAGGAGGGGGGAGGGAGAGAGAGAAGAACAAAGCAACAGTTTAGATATGTAACAATTATAATAATATTAATTAAATATTCTTAATGTGAAATTTCTCTAAATTGTGTATGACCTGTTAATTGAGCATGTTTTTGTGCAGCTTCTTGACCAATTAATGGTGCATCACATTGTCGACAAAGTAATGTAAATGATGAAAGATCAGTGAATGCCCATTCAGCACGAGCTTTTGATGCTAATTGTTGAGCTTCAAATAGAATCTATGTATAAAATAATAATGGAGGTGGGGTGGGGGTGGGAAAAATAATGAAAATTTTGTATTATATTAAAAGAAATTCACTTGGTGTTTTTTTTACTTGTATCTTCCCAATTGTTGTTATTTAGGACAGCAATTAATCAATCTCATGTTGGTATATGTGCATCCTGTGAGGATTGCCTTGATATAGCCTTAAGTCACAAGCTTTGGAAAAATACAAGTAAAACAACACCAAGTTAATTTAAAACATCACCACATTGCACAAACAGGTGGCTATCAAGACTCAGTAGCTAAGTGGATAACACGATGTCGTTTGAAGCGAACGGTACTGGGTTCGAGTCCCAAAGTGAATATCAACTCTGCGATGCAGGTACATCCAGCTGACGAGTTCCAAATAAGACGAAACGCGCGTCAAACTGAATTCCACTGCTAGCCACTATCCATCTTTATTAAAAGAAATGTTATTTCATAATTGATTTTTAGTAGGATGGAAAAGAAACATGAAAAATAATGGATACATCTCATGTCAAAGAGTGTCGTCAACTAGTGCCAAATGGGAGGTTTTTCCCATTGTTATAGAGTAGAATTTCTTGATTTGATCAAGCAACGTTTGATAGTGAAAATGAATGGATAGAATGTAGATTGAGAGATTATATGCAGTGATATGATTTATGGGTGAGTGATAGCTGCTTGTACTATTGGACTACCGACATAAGCCACTTCTACAAACGGATTGAGATTAAATACAAAAAACCGAGCACATAGTAGAATAGATTTTTTTTAACAAAGTGACATGTTTGTATAAAAAGTACCGAACATGGAAATAAATATGATTAAAAGATATTTTCAGAAGGGGTTTTGTGGAGATCTTAGTAGTTTCAATAGTTGAAATCATGAGTCGATTGAATGCTGGCTCAGTGATCTAATGGTGCGAGACTGATAGGTCCTGGGTCCGAATCTCGTGGATGCGCACTGCTGAGGAGTCCCATACTGGGATGAAACGGCCATCCAGTGCTCCCAGGTTTTTCATGGTGGTCTAGCTTCAACTGACTCATGATTTCAACTATTAAAAGATATTTAATAAGTGGACGGTAGGAGGATATGACAACAATAAGTCATTTATTCATTATCTAATGGAATTAATAGATAATTATCAAGCGTAATTCATGTTCTGTTATATCACTTATCGATTATCTTCTTTTTCAGCTAACATTAATAAAGTTTAACGCCAAATTGGGTCACATGTGACTAATGGTCAACATTGTGACTAGATCGATATGTTGTTAATTAATGGTTTAGTGGTAAGTTAAATATCTAATGTTTAGTCACTAAGTTGAACCCTGCTTGTACTACCATCTTTATTTCACTTTGGGTAACGGTGACAGGTGTAACTAATCGACATTTTCAAACATTATGAATCGAAGCCAACTACACATACATGTACTCGACAATGAGTTATACAATTATGAATTAAATTTCACTGACAAGGTAGGTTAGTGAATGAAAATATGTAAGATTTATTTCAACCATGTGAGAAGATAACATATTACGATCTTATAAACGAATTAATCATTCCTACGTAACTTCAACATAGCCCCCAAATGCCCTGGTATGTCCGAGAGTGGGGAGAGTCAACTCTTCCTCTTCAAATGCTTTCACATGGCTACGTGTATACAACCACTGTAAGGGAAGTCCTACTCACTGCCTACTCGTACCACCGATGTTGTTTAAGAAATTCAGAGGATGAAAAGTGAATGTCTGGAGCTTGAACCGGGTTAGTGAACATGGAGAGTTCACCTAAGGGAGTTGGGAAACCCTGATTTCAAACCAATGGTGCACATGAGCTCCGGTACCCTAAAGGAACAAATGACGTATAAACCAATTATTGATCACCAGCTACCATGGGACTCCATCTCCTTACGTTGCACCACTGAATTGTGGGTTAGACCTTTAGGTCAAAGGTTCGGGGTGTGGCCTTCTAAGACAACCACCCGCTTCTGTTTGAGCGTCCGATCAGCATCCTATCCCTTACACAAATCATTCTATTTGTGTGACTCATATCTATTTGGTACCTTGTTTTATCTATGTTTGTGTTTAAATAAATAATTAATAAGCTTCAACATTACTCATTTATTAGTTCCACCACACAGAAGTAATACTCTAGAGACTACTGTGATAGAATATAAGTAATTTACGAGCTGATATTTCTGCTACCTTTAGAAGTCATGCTTCAATCTCATAAAATAGTACAGGACAAACTTCTGTGTAATATACCTAACTTCTAACAGGCAAACGGTGATATCTACTATGTCATAAACAATAAAAGCTAACATCATCCAAATGGATGTTTTGCTTTGACACTAAGAGTATGGTTAGCCCAGAAGATTTCCAAGAGGAAATGCTTTATTTAGTTATTTGAACACATAAATATTGGTACAAGAGGGCATCACATATATATGCGCCACAATTCCATTTTATTTATGTGAGGGCTGTGATACTGCCCGGGTACCCAAATCGAAGCAGGTGGTTTTCTTAGAGGGCCATACCCCGAGCCTTTGACCTAAAGGTCTGACCCACAAGGCAGTGGAGCATCGTGAGATGCAGTTCCATAGTAGTCAGTGGCCAACCATCGGTTCATACGCCATTTGTTCCCTCAGGAAACTGGAGCCAGTCCATGTGCACCATTGGTTTGGGATCCGGTTAAAGCGCCGGACACTTGCTTTTCGACCAATCATTTTCGTAAACAACACCCGTGGTGTGAGAAGGCAGTGAGTAGAACTTCCCTGGCAGAGGTTATATACGCGTTGCCGTGTGAGAGCATTTTGAGAGGGAGGGCGGGCCCATCCCACTCTCGGCAATACCAGGGCATTTGGGGGGGGGGGAAAGAAGGAATATGAAAATGATCAATTAACATATTTGACTAAAGAATTGATGAAAGAGTTTTTTTATAATTACCGGAAGATATTCCTACAAAAAGAGAATATTCTATGAATATATTGATTAGAATAAAATGTACACACACACACACAAACATACTGAATCATTATTTGATGAAAATACAGTTACTAAACAATCACGATTTGGACATTCTTGTGCTAATGGATCATAATGTATCCCATCATAGATTAGTAAAATTCTTTTAGAATAATTTTGATCTTCACCAAAACGATCAATTCGACATGATTCAATGTCAACAATACATATTTCAATTTTATATAATTGTGATAAAATTGATACTTCAATACCTCCACCCCATTTATCTGACTGAAATGACAAAAAAAAATAGCGAGAGAAAGAGAATAATACAGTGATCACAATTAGATGAATGAATTGTATTATTATTATTATTACTATTATTATTTAAAGATGAAAATGTAATACATGTTTACAATTCTGAGACACTATGGTGATTACGTATGCCTGAACATCGATTAACACGATGTGCAATACAGACTAGTGTTGAGGATAGTTGGAAGAAAGTTAGAGTCCACCAAATCAAAACGTGGCATCAGTTCTTGAAGTCACTAACTTCTAGTCTAAGTCATGTTGATAGATACAGATTACTTGGTTGGGGTCCGTGTGACTATCGTAACCAATGGTTGGAGACTCTAGGTGACTATGGCTCAGAATCAATCACAATAGTGCAGCTGCATGAACTCTTTATCGTTATTCAAATATTGAGATTAAAATCGCTCCATATCTTTCTTTCTACGAACTAATTCTTTCTTCCTGTACTATCTCTTTATATGCAATCTTTCTTTTATATATTACCACCACTGAGTTAGTCACTTCTATGAAACCGGTGTTCATCTTGTTGTTTTATTTATTCATTTTAACACATAAGTATAGGTACAGGGAGGCACCAAATACATATGCGCCACACAAATCTCAATTGATTTGTGTGAGGGATGTGATACTGCCCGGGTGCCCAAATCGAAGCAGGTGGTTTTCTTAGGGGGCCACACCCCGAGCCTTTGACCTGAACGTCTGACCCACAAGGCAGTGGAGCATCGTGAGGAGATGCAGTCCCATGGTAGCCGGTGACCGACGATTGGTTCATACGCCATTTGTTCCCGCAGGATACTGGAGCCCATGTGCACCATTGGTTTGGGGTCCGGTTAAAGCGCCAGACATTCGCTTTTCGTCCTCTCATTTTTGTAAACAACACCCCCGCCACGAGGTATGGCAACCTGGACCGATGCATATATGTGTCTAGCCCTACGTTGCAACTGAGTGACTGACTTAAAAGTAGAATAATGACTGAAAGATTTCAATGGTTCTAAGGTATGATTTTCGTAGCATTTAAAATTAAGAGACAGTGATCCATATCAATCCATGATGAGTACCATTTCCACATTGAGTTAATTGACACAATCTATTCAACCAAATAATTAGCATTTATCAGTATGGGAAGGTTAAGAGTTCACTTGCGAGACCAAGGTCCTGGGTTTCAGTCCCGCATGCGGGATCGTGGATGCGTATTGCTGAAGAGTTACATACTAGGACAAAACGGAAATCTAGTACTTCTAGGTTTTTCATGGCAGTTTAGCTTAGAGCGACTCGTGAATTAAACTGTTAAAATTATCATCTACTTTTATTTTCTCTGAAGTTTTTTGTTTTTTCACGATTATAATAAGGTACGTACCTGTATGTAGTCACTTAATAATCTTTGTGATTATAGATTTAGTAGTGGAAGATAAAGTGTCAGACAAAGGACTCGGTGAGCATTATTTTCTACCCGGAATTCACTATCTGGATGTAATAGCATGCACTGAATACAGTACTTATAGCCATTATAGGGGAACAGTGGCTCAGTGGTTAAGCTGTCCAACTTTCAGACAATAGATCCGGGTTTTGAACCCCACTCCACCTACTTTCGTTTAAGAGGCCTGGAGTTTTCATAAATTCTCACGCTCAGAATGTAACCAGAAGCTATGTACATGAATCTACGCACAATGAGCCAATGTGTTATAAGATTCCCTGACTAGTGAAAACTGGTATGGACACACAACTAAGTTGCCATTTCAACTACCTTCTCTTGATAGGTTAGTCTCATTATTACGTCAATATACCAATGGATCCCAAGCGAAGTAGTCTATCCATCAAACTACGATCACAATCCTAAAGCTAACTGGCACGAATCACACCATTAATATAATTACTTTATATATCGTTTAGCCAATCCTAGTAATTTTTCAAACTTATTCATAACCAAAGCCTTTAGAGTAAATTTAAACAGGCAGGGATTAGAATCATGTAACGCATAAATAAATTAAAATATTTATAATCACCATTAATTGCTAGACAAACAAAGTTAGCATTGCTTAGTTAATGAATGCTTGTGACCTAAATAAGTCTTTTTGTATATCAACCATGTGATATCATGCTTCCTATATACACAGGTTTGAAGAATAGTTGTGTAGTTGAGCGTGTCGACCGCTTCACTTATCTTGGTCGAAGGCTCCGGGTGTGACCCCCTAAGGAAACCACCTGCTTCAGTTTGGGCACCCATGCAGTATCCTAGCCCTCACAGAAATCGAATGATTTATGTGGCGCACATCTATTTGGTACCTCCTTGTTATTATTGTTTATTTTATTTATTTGAACACATAAATATTGGTACAAGAGGGCACCAAATATAAAGCGCCACACAAATTTTCATTTTATTTGTGTGTAGGCTGTGAAACTGCCCGGGTGCCCAAACCGAAGCAGGTGGTTTTCTTAGAGGGACATTCGCTTTTCGTCCTCTCATTTTCGTAAACAACATCCCCACCACCAGAAGGCAGTGAGTGGGACTTCCCTGACAGAGGCTGTATACGCGTGGCCGTGTTAGAGCATTGCGAGAGGGAGGGCGGGCCCACCCCACTCTCAGCCATACCAGGACATTTGGGGGCTACCTCCTTGTACTAATGTTTATATGTTCAAATAAATCAATGACATACTGTTTATTAAGATACACCATGTAAAAAACACAAAGCTGGTTATTTAAACATGGATTAACAAAATCACAAACTAACTTAAGGTTACTTAAAATATCACCATAAATTGTTACTAAACTTCATTAATAAACAAAAATCGATTGAGCTACTATAATAAAGAATATAAGATTTTCAGGTGAATAGTGATTTTAAAAAAAAGGAGGGTAAAGATGCTAGTAGTATAGTGTAGTAGCTAACATATTGATAGGAATATGATATAAATGGAACAATGTCATATGATGGTAATTATAAAACATAGAAACGACTATCACATGATCAATTAAGGTATAGTTCATAAGAAGAAATACGGTAACTATTTTTAGTATATATATATTATATAAATGAAGTGATCAACACTTTGATATTGCTTTTTACGTCCATTCTCACTACGCCTAAGAATACATTTTGAAAGACCATAGTAGTGATTACGAAGTGTTTTTGTCATATCTCAGAAATCCTCTTGAAGTTAGTGATAAATGAACGTTCGAAACTTGGAGACTAGAATTCGTCTTATCCACCTAATGTATACCCCTAACTTCTAAAACCAAACAACTGCTAAACAGCATCAAAGGTGTCACATTTTTTAATAAACGTATTATGAACTTTGTTATACGTAGATTTGTCTTCTCCACGATACTAATACTACGAATAACTTCCTTATGTATTAAATTTTTCTTCACTGCAAAGAGTGAATACGAATAGAAGTACTCAGAAGCATTTTAAAATTAAATTTCAAAGTTAGGAAGGAAGGATTTGAATGTGACCAACTTGGTCTCGTGTGCTGTTACAGGTATGAGGGCTGATATCACTTCCCGGTTGCCCACACCGTGGAAGGGTATTTCTTGAGGAACCTGAAAAAGAAATCGGACTAGTGTTGGTCTTAGCGACCTGAGAGCGTGACCGCAGAGCCCAAGGGACAACTGCTTGAGGCCGGTCGCGCACGGCCTTTTTGTAGGAGGTTTCTAATGTGTTAGCTCCGTTCTTCAAAGGGCCTTACCACCGGAGACGGAAATCCGTTGGGTAAGGTGAGGTGTGACATTTTTAGGGTCAACCTTTTCTAACCCCTTCCTTCCTTGTGAGAAGGCAGCATCGCTGCAGATGCTGGTTGTCCGAGGGAAACACCTTACTGCTGTCACACCTCTGTACAGTCAGCAGTACGACTTCGCCGTTCTCCAATTGACCTACCTGGCATGGTAGAACCTCCAGGGACATATGTTCCAGCCAATATAGCTCGGTTGGGTCATCACAATAGGCAAGCCCGACCACCACGTCAAGGTAGCAGCTACAGTCGGGACATTTCAAAGTAATATTGACAGATGACGATAATCAGAGAATTCAGTGTCATTCAGTTAAGTCGTATATGAGACTGTATAGTATAAAACTCAGGAACAAAGGAAACTCCCCCTTCTTATCACAAATATATACAAATTACAATGCACCTTTCTTTTATCACAATGATTATTAGTTGTCATTTAATTCATTTAATAAGGATAAGCGTATGTGTTTAAAACACCTTTGAGTCAAACTTCAACTGTGTCAGCGGTTTTTCACATGCAAAATAAAATTGGGCACGTCGGTTCAAGTTGCTACATTGCATTCACACAGCTAGATAAAATTATCGCGGCAAATCTCACAATACCAGAAGTAATAATAGTATTAGTGGTAGTAGAAAAAGATTAGGTATGGAAAGTATAAGATTTTGGGACTCAAGACCTAAGAGAAAATAAAAAGTAAATGTACCTGTACCATTGTGAACAATTTCGAGCCACATTACTCAAAGTCCTTAATCATTTGTCACGATGCCCCCAAATGCCCTGGTACGGCCGAGAGTGGGGAGAGTCCGCTCTCCCTCTCGAAATGCTCTCACGTGGCCATGCGTATATAGCCTCTGCCAGGGAAGTCCTACTCACTGCCTTCTCGTGGCGGGGGTGTTGTTTACAAAAATGAGAGGACGAAAAGCGAATGTCTGGCGCTTTAACCGGACCCCAAACCAATGGTGCACATGGGCTCCAGTATCCTGCGGGAACAAATGGCGTATGAACCAATCGTTGGTCACCGGCTACCATGGGACTGCATCTCCTTACGATGCTCCACTGCCTTGTGGGTCAGACGTTCAGGTCAAAGGCTCGGGGTGTGGCCCCCTAAGAAAACCACCTGCTTCGGTTTGGGCACCCGAGCAGTATCACAGCCCTCACACAAATCAATTGAGATTTGTGTGGCGCATATGTATTTGGTGCCTTCCTGTACCTATACTTATGTGTTAAAATAAATAAATAAATAAATAAAATAATTTGTCACGATAATTGTGCGGGCTCAACTACGCAGTTTGAACGTACCTACATGGTTCATTTTGATTACTAATGACTTTGTAGACTCATGCTACGTTTGGGTTTGGTCACCCTAGCTTTCTTCTACAGTACTCGTATACCAGCCAACATCGCACGAGGTGGTGAAGGAGCTAGCGATATTACCTAGCTCTCCCCATACTATGTTAGGCGGGATATGACTGAGGCTTGTAGTCTACTAGTTCGAAACTAAGTGGTTTATTCAGTGTGTCGTCGCTCCATAACTTCTTGTATAAAAGACAAAAAAAGGAAATAAGCAAAGCACTCACAAAACAAACATCATCATTCGCTTACTTGTCTGATTTGAAGTGAATATTGTTCATTTGACATCCCAAGGAATGCTTCAGAATACTTGACTGGATCGCTTAACACAATACCGGAAATTAATTCTCTTAAATTACTGACTTCAGCAATATTTGTTACAACTTCTGTACCAATTTTTAAATGATTGTCTTCATTATTCATACAGAAAAGAACACTTGTAAATAGACAAGAATTATCCGATGGTGCAGACAATCGGACAATATGTGATTGAGATTGTTTATTAGTGATTATTTCATGCTCATGAGGTTGATGCTTTACAGTTTGTGAGTTGACATTTGTTGGTTTTTCTTCCGTTACATCAACAGTAAGCATGTCACCCGAACGAAGAGGGATCTGCATATTCATATATCATTTTTAAAAATAAAAAGACGATTTTTATTAATAGATTAGATTATAGGGCATTAAGTGTATCGACAATTTTGCACATATATATGTATTACTGTGATATACATGTGCATGTGAGGCGTAATGATGATTCCAAACAGTCAAAACAATGACTGATAATCAAGAGTGTAAACCATAAAAGTCAAACCGAAAAGGGAAGTAAGTAACATTGAAGACACTGGTTTGAGACTTATGTTTACTTCCCTTACTAAAGACTATCCTGAATAATGTCATCATATAGCTACATTCCATTAAAAGTTTTTTTACACAAAATGACATTAAGTGGGATACTGAAAAGTAGGTAATATTGGATAGGAATATTTTCATTCTTATTTGGGGATACGAAACTAATTTCCTCCGATTGCTTATGAGATTTTATTATGTGCTGATACTTGTATATAAGAATGCCATTTTATTGCCTCTAAATACCCTAGTACGGCTGAGAGTGGGGAGAGTCAGCTCTCCTCTCCAGATGCTTTCATATGGCCACGTGCATACAACCACTGTCAGGGAAGTTCTACTCACTACGTTTTCGCAGCATTGCCGTTGTTTACGAAATTGAGAGGACGAAAAGCGAATGTTTGACGCTTGAACCCAGTTGGTGTATCCTCCGTATCCACCTAGGAAAATTGGAAAACCCTACCTCCAAACCAATGATGCTTATGTGCCCCAGTATTCTGAAGGAACTAATAGCGTATGAACCAATCGTTGGTCACGGGCTACCATGGAACTACATCTTCTAACGTTGTTTCACTGCTTTGTGAATCAAACCTTTAGGTCGAATGTTCTGGTTGTGGCCCTCTAAGAAAACTACCTGATTCGGTTTGGGTACCCACGCAGTATCCCAGCTCTCACACATCGAATGATTTATGTGGCGCATATCTATTTGGTGCCTCCTTGTACAAATGTTTATGCATTTAAATAAATAAATAATGCCATTTTATTACACAAAATCTTAATCAAGATAGCTTCTATAAAAATTAGACTTCTTACTTTAGTTAGCGGACAAGGGAGAAGAGGATAGAATTCCAATTAACTGTATTGAAGTTAGAGTTGCGAAATAGTAGCTTAGACACAAATGCTAAGAGAGGAAAGTATACACACTACATGTAATTGGCGGGAAGGGTTAGAAAACGTCAATTCCAAAAATCAAACATTATCTATCACCACAGATTATCGATGAAGATAAGACTTGTAAAGTGCAAATGGAATGCACCAAAGACTATCCATAAAAAGGTTATATATGGCTGACCTCAAGTAGTTGTCTCTAAGTCTTTGATCATGTCTCAAGGCCACCTCTAGTCCAGTCTGCTTTTCAGGTGCCTTAGGAGTAATTATTCTCCTAAGGCATAGGCAATCAAGGATTGATAACTGCCATTGAAACTAGCAGAATTCAAATCAACCTTGTCCTGTGTATTCGATCATATGTACTTTTGAAACATCAATTGTGCATAGATCTGCCAGTAGGGCGAGTTATTTGCACGTTAAGTGAAAAGTTACAAATAATAAAAGAATATTAGTATTATTCTCGATATATATATAATGTACCAAAGCACTTCTAGTATAGATGCTTTTTTAAAAGGTTATACGACTAACCTCCCAAAGATGTTTACTAAGACTTGAAATGCTACAATCCAACTTTTGGGGAGGATAACCATAATAAAGTGATATACGAGATTGTGTAACACCTACAAGTGAAGCAATGGTTTTCAGTAGTTCATTGATGGTTGAATCAGAAGTTAAATCATTCAAAGTATACTGTCCAGTACGAAATCGACATCGTAATTTTAACAAATCTTTGGAATTTAATGGACATGCTTGCATTTGCACAACAATAAAGTAGTTATCTGACTATGTACCTAAAATAAATGAGAAATGAACAAACAGTAGAGAATAAAAGGTATAGCACAAAAGAAAGGAACTAAGTAAATGCTTTTATTTACAAATCTTTATTTACAACATCTTTTTCAAGGTATTTTGCAACTAATTCAATAACATCAGGTTTCATGAATGCATCTACAATTTGTTCGAAGTTAAGAGTATTAACAACATCGGATGTGGAATTTTCTTCTGAAATAGTAAATAAACTGCCAAGCTTTTCTGAAGTTAAAGGTGTCCAATTAATAATGCTAGAAAACCTAGCTTGTTTTGAAGGTTCTTCTAGATTCTCTTCTCCATTGGAAGATGATTCATTTAGGTTTTGATGAAAAAGTATACGCAAATAATCCAATAGTTTTTTAAACCAAAACTTATTTTCATATGTTGCTTGTTCAGATGGATGTAATAAAACTTTATGATCACTACGATCATAATTAGATAACAAAGAGAAGCCGACTAATTGTGTGAGACATTCTCTAAGGCGTACTTTATTATCAAGTGAAGGTTGGTCAATCCATAAGTTTACTGAACAAGTAAAATCATATTCAGATGATGATTCAACAAAATGCCACCAATTTCTTGGGACAAAAAGAATATCTCCTGGATAAAGTGTTACAGGATAAGGAGTTGTTTTTAATATGAGAGGATGTTTTTCGCAGTTGGGCAATGTGAAATTAACTTTGCTAAAAACAGTAGATTCTTCTAATGGTAATCGAGTTTCATACATATGCGGGCTATCTGAAGGTGGAAACAATATCCAGCGTTTGGACCCTTTGATTTGTACTACCAGATTAACTCCGTAAGTATCTCGATGACAAATAGTATGAGCTTTAGACGATCCAAGCCAAAATGTTGGACTGATATTACTTTTTAAAAACGGGAACAATTCTTGAAATGATAAATCTTCGACTAAACCTTGAAAATCAGGTGACTGATTCATATATATGTAATCCGCATAAGCCCACCAAGATTCTTTGGGGTACTTATAAAAAGGATTACTCATACTGTCTACTCCATTTATCCATTCATTAAATTCTACTAATGTTGCATTAACAGACGGACAAGATGTCTCCCACTGTACATCGATACTTTCTTTTTTAGCCAGACGAAATTTCAAGTTACTTTTTATTTTCCCTGACAGATAATGCAAATCCCACTTTTGGCAGGCTTTCCATGTACAAGCAACCGTTTTAGCGACATACGGATGTTGAGGATTAGGAAATTGTGAGAGTAGGATTTCAGCAACATCCATCTAAATTAGAAGTTTAAAATAAACACGTGAACTATGTCGTAACACTAATATCACTAAAGTCTGCTTAACTGAAGCTCAGGAAACATAAAGTAAAAGGTTTGGCATAACGAAATGTTTCGCGTAACTAAAATCAACTGTATGATTTTACCATTTCTGTAGAACATTGAACAACGTAAACCTGCACTAAGAAGTAGATGGTTGCAAGCTATTATTAGGTGATTCGAGGTAATTAGCAGGGAGTTCTAAACTTCGATTTTGTGCCCGTTGTTACTCGTCGGCAAGGAGTATTTGGATTCTTCAAGGTACCGATGCTACTCATAATTCGAGCTGACATCACCCCATGTCATAAAGAAACCTGAGCTATTCGGTAGCTATTGGAGTCCTGTAGGACAGAAATTTACACTGAATGATCACTGATTAATTACGTGTGGTCTGTACAGGAATGAAACCTAGAGAGTCACAATCAACGTATGACTATGAATAAATATGCATTGACCTGAACTGCTACATCACTTTAGCAAAGAGAGATGAAATTAGCAAGGTAAATAACAAATAATTTGACATATTAGTATTAATGATACTAAAACTTAACATCGAGAACATGGTTTGAAGAGGAGAGAAATAAAGAAGTTAAAATTTGATTCGTCTGAAAACAGTTCAGAGGACCTCTGCTTAGACATTTCGGGAGACACTCAAATTATCCGGATGGTTGTACAAGTTAAAATTTTTCACATTACCCTATTGCATATTAAGACCCGGATTATTTATGATGTACATAACACTCAAAATGATTTCGGATCTCATATTGTCTGTCCCCTCTCCCGCAACTAATTCAGAACTCGGCACAATAGGATAGTTTAAAAGTCTAAGAACGATTGAGCCCATTTGGAGCAACTTTTCACACCGAATAACGAACGTACAGGTCTTACCTTTGAAATCCATGTAGGGCCACTGAAATATCACCGGGCTCTAGATAAATCATCTGGAAGTCCAGTCACTGAATATCGAACAGCGTGCTGACCCTTGTCGATATCAAAGACAGCCAACATGCATCAATTAACTGTAGTGGTCATACTTTGTTCTTGTATCTATTCTTACTAGTACATTCCTGTCATGACGTTATGTTTTAGTTGTATAGTCATCAACAACAGTACCTGGATACGACTGAAGGGTGATCCACGTTAGGTATTAACCATGAGATGTGATTTTGAAGAAAGCTGGGAGGCCATGACATTCCCATTCCGGTTGAGTAAGCCCCAGATCATCGACACATATTGCCGACGTTGACGACCTACACTGGCGAGTAAGGCTTTGAATAACGCAACCTATTATCTTTATGATTGCATTCTACACTCACTCTTCTTCATTTCTATCATCGCATAGGTTTGTCAGTTACTGCGAACATTCGATGCTTTATATTAATGTCGATTAGTATTCAAACTTAACTAACAAGTTTAATCGGTCAAAATGGCTAATCAATTTCGATTGTAATCGGCTATCATAATTTTTTCACAAGCATCGGCAGTATGTAAATGTTCCTGCGTAATGTGTCTGTTAAAATATTTACCACTCGTAAGTATAGCCACAAGGTAACACGAACGCAAACCAATCTCCCAATTTTGAAGATAATGCTACAGAAAATTTCGAAGAAATTGCACGAAACCCCCAAAATCTCCTCATATATGGGGAACTTTCCCAAAATTTTGAGGATTTCTCAATATGGAGATTAGGACATGTGTGTAACATATTCGCTCATATAAGAAAGAGTCGATCAGGTATCAATTATAAATTCACCACCAACCTGCGAAATTCTTGAGATTATATGCGCACGAAAACATTCTTGGAAGACTAAAAACCATCCGGGATTCGAACAACAAAACACATCTGAATAAATACAAATGAAAATGAAAGTATGCCTAAATGCTTTATCCTCACTTTAGCTACCAATAAACAACAGTGGGATTTACTAAATATCTGATACCAGTTAAACTAAATTAAAAAATAAATCTAAATTATGATTTTTTTCTTACTAGTTTGTTTTACTATCCTTATTATTGAAGACTAGTGACGTCACAAACTCATTACTGTTCAAAATTAAAAGACATTAACATCTTTTATGCATAACGATGCTGTATATGTAACTGTCGCTATAAAAATGTCTGGAAGTAAAGGATGCTTTACTAAACTACATAATAAACAATAAGATCTAAGTAATCTGCCTCATACTTCGTCATGTAATTCAAAATAGGTGTTTTTCGAAGCATAGGGTTTAGTTCCTAGTCCTAACTAGGACTTTTCTTGAACTTTCATATGAGAACCTGAATACTCAAGACTACCAAACTCTCATGATCTCAACAAAAAGGAAAACCAACAGTTACATAAATGATGCATTACCGTCCTTCAGAGAAGCTTGAGAAAGCCAATCAGATCCAAGGTAGTTGCTCGTAGATTGAGCGCGCGAGAATTAATATGAACTATACAATTTCCAATACCTTTGTGATACATTGTCACTTTAGCTCCGGCGTTTTGTATTTAAAAACCTCTTCCAGACCTTTTGAGTTGCTAAATTTGATTTGACTACTCGGCTGAAGAAAACTTTTAAATCCTGATGGACATAATTAGTTTCACTTTCAGTTTGGAAAGGACAGGAATCTTGATGGCCTGTGTTAGTCCTGGCAATGGTGTTCACTCAGTTGATCCAACTCTCTTTTGAAAGAATCTACAGATGGAGCTTCAACCACGTGGTGAGGTAATGAATTCCACTCGTTGATGATTCGATGAGAAAGTCGATAATCAGCTGACAGGTAATTTGTTCTGGGCTTGTGAACTTTTTTGGAGTGCCCTCGTAAATTCTCTGTTTTGGAAGACAAGAAAAATGAGGGCACATCAGGTGCAAATTTATTACTAAGCAATTTGAAAACTGTAATTAAGTCGCCTCTAGTTCTACGATATGACAAAAGGAATAGGTTTAGCTTGGCCAGTCGAGCATCATACTGAAGCTTCGCTATTCTGGGAATCAGCTTAGTTGATGTTCTCTGGACCTTTTCCAAAAGCTCACTGTCTTTTTTAGCAGGGGCTAGCCGCCTGTATGCAGTACTTAAGTTTAGGACGTACGAACACTGCATACAAAGTCAAAATGTTTTTGCGTCGACATGAGTAAAAGCCCTACGTATTGACCATAAAGTTCTAAAAGCTTTGGCGGCTATTGCACGGCAGTGTGCAGTAGTCTTTAGATCTTGGCTAACGATAACTCCTAAGTCATTATGTGTCTGGACAACAGGTAGCTCAATGTTATTCATCGTGTATGTATCTGAACCTTGATGACCGATATGCATCACAACACACTTGGAAGTATTTATCGGCAGCTGCCATGTATGAGACCATTCGGATAATTTCTTCAGGTCATTTTGGAGTTCTAAGCTATCCCCCTTACATCATATCGTTCTCTATATCTTGACATCGTCAGCATATAGCAGGATCGATGATGATAGTAGGTGAGGAAGGTCATTTACATACAAGAGGAATACCGCTGGCCCCAAAACTGTACTCTGAGGCATTCCACTAAGCACAGTTTCCCAGCTAGATAACTTTGAGTTCACCCGTACTCTCTGTTGGCGCCCAACTAAGAAGTCTTCTATCCAAATCAATAGATTGCCTCCATTCCGACATTTTTTAGCTTATGTAACAGCCGGTTTCGCGGAACTTTGTCAAAAGCTTTGCTGAA